GAGGGGTGGGTGTATATTCTTATGGTAACTACCAAATGACATACCTGCCCCAGGCTGCTGCATTTGTTGATGCTTTATTAACCGGAATACAGGAGGAGTCAATGACAGTTGATTTGTTCATCTTGTAGCAGAAACCGCAGTTAGGATCCAACATACATTCATTACAGTAACTGTAAAATGAGAAGAAAGAGTTATAATCATTTTGGCAATGACAACTGTTGCTCACTATAAACTCTACTCCAGGTGCTTCCCTACATTTCCCACATGACTTGAGGTAAGACTAGAGCCATGTGATTAGTTTTGTTCATGGTAAGACGTGTGCCAGGCAGAGAAGAGCTGGCTGGTCTCTGCTGTCTTCCCCTTCCTTGGCTGCAGCATACGTGGAAGCTAAGCTGGGATGGAGGAATACTGGATCTTTCACCCTGGAGATAGAAGAGCCTCAGTCAACCTGCATCAAATAAACCTTTGCTGTCCTAAGCCACTGATGTTTGCTTGCCTTGGCCCTTCTTGACCCAGTTCTGCTTCATTCCAAGCTGTACCAAAGCACTTACTTTTTTAGTTTTTCCTTCATGGTCATTGCATTTTAAACATTAGGTACAGTTTTTTTCCAATATATATACTGAAGTAGGAGATTCAAACAATAAAAAAAAGTTTAAAGAAAACAGTTAAACAAAAATTCCTAACCCCCAAATATGGTCATTGTTGACATCGTGGTAGACACTGGAACTTTTAACAAATGTACATTGAGTTTCGACCATGTATTATGCTTAATTTGAAAGAAACATGTATAGGAAAAAAAGGCTTACCTTTCTCTAATTAATTATATGACTGGTTGGAGCATGAGGAACTCTGGTGTGTAGAGGGTAAGGCGTTTGGATGCCAACCAGATGGCTGGTGGTTCAAAACCCACCAGCTACTCCACAGGAGGTAGATGAGGCAATCTACTTCCATAAAGATTTATAGCCTTAGAAACTCAATGGAGGTCACTATGAGTCAGAATGGACTTGAAAACAGTGGGTTTTTTGGTTTGGTTGGAGCACAGAGCCATAATGAATTAGTCCCTGTTCACTTGAAAACAGTATCCTAACTGCAGCAAAGTCCTAAAGAGGCTAAAA